GAGCAGGGAGGGCCAGGGCAGGTGAGCAGGGAGGGCCAGGGCAGGTGCGGGCCGGCGGTCGGAGCTCTGGGGTCTGTGCAGCTGCCGCCTCCCCTCGTGCCAAAGTCGGGCTGTGCCCCGCCCAGCTGCAGCCTGGGGTCCAAGTACAGCTCCTCCTTCCTCGGGGCAACAGCACCGCCTGCTCCTGGGGTATCACCCACATGTCCTGCTGGGGACTCCCTACAAGAGGACCACCCGTCCCTTTTGCCCCTGCCTCGGTAGCCCCGGCAGGCCAGACCACGGAGCACTCGCCCATGGAGCTCGTGGCTCCTGCTTGGATGTGGCCTGCCTGACCCAGGCTGGGCTCGGCCTCGTCGGCAGGGACCTGGCAGTCTCAGCAATGTCCCAACCCTGCCCCCGTAGCCCTCCGTGTACGAGCTGGTCCGGGCGCCTGGCTTTGCCCACCTGCCCCTGATCGTGGAGGACTTCGTCAAGGATGCGGGTGCCAGCTTCAGCGGTGAGCCCCGGTGGGCCTCGTGCTTATGGCCGTATGGGTGGGCGCACCAGGTACAGCGCCGGCCCCTGAGCCCGGCCAGCGGACCTGGTGGCCGGCGACCCTGTGCCAGGCCTGAGCAGGCTCGGGTGCAGGTGTGCCGACCATCCTGCCAGCACCAGGAGTGGGCAGGAGCGGGCAGCTGCTGGGCGGGTCTTTGGGGCGGCCCTGCCTGAGCCTCTGCCCGCGGCCCCACAGCCAGCGAGCCAGATGCAGTACACGTGGTGCTGGACCGCCACCTCGTCACCGCCCAGAACGCCAGCTCCACCGTGCCGGCTGTGCAAAACCTGCTCTTCCTCTGTGGCAGCCGGTGAGGCCCGGCGGGTGGGTGGTGGGCAGTGGGCTGGGTGGGGCTGGGTACCGGGGCCCCAGCCGTGACCGAGTGCCTGGCCCACAGGAAATGAGGCGGACTGTGGCCTGTGGCCAGTGCCGACGGTCCAGGTGGCCACAGAGGAAGTGGGCCTGCTGCGCTGCCTCCTCCTTGGCCTGTGGAGACCCCACCTCAGAGCCGAGAGCAGCCGGGCCTCTGACGACCCCCCGAGCTGACGCAGACACCCACCCCGGCCAGGACCCCTTGGGCACAAGAGGCTGAGGCCTCACCCCCACCCCACCCCGTTCTCAGCACGTAGGTGAGACCAGGACTCTGGGGGCTGCTGCCAGGGGGTTCTGCAGAATCCTGAATCACGTGTGGTCGGTGTGGATAGGGCAGTCAGCAGGGGTCCTAGTCGGGCTTGCCCTGCGCTGGTCTTTTGGGGCAAGGAGCCTGGTGCTGGCACCGTGTGATTCTTTCCTCTGCCCGTCCGTGGCCGCCCTGGGGCAGCACCGTGTGAGTCCCCTCTGCCCGTCCGTGCCCGCCCTGGGGCAGCACTGTGTGACTCCGTCTGCTCGTCCGTGCCCGCCGTGGGGCAGCACCGTGTGACTCCCGTCTGCCCATCCGTGCCCACCCTGGGGCAGCACCGTGTGACTCCCGTCTGTGCCCACCCTGGGGCAGCACTGTGCAGGCCTCTGAGTTTGGGCCTTGACTCACCCTGTGAGCTGGATGATCGGACCATTGGGCAGTGGGACGGGGCCACCAGGGCTTGTCTTCCTGAGTGGAGGGGCGAGGAGGGGGCTGCTGGGTGGAGCCGGCGCAGCAGTTTCTGGGGCCACACCCCAGCCCCCAGCTGCCTGCCAGTTCACCATGTTGGCGGGAAGCTGTTTGCTAAAGAAATATTTTACTTTTAGCTCAGAGCATAGTCTCAATGTAACAGAGACCCCACCTCAGCACAGGTGGGGTTTGGAGCCCCTTAGGAGAGCACGGCAGGGTCACCACACCCAGCGTTGGTGGAGAAACTGGCTGTGGGACCATCGGCTGTCTGCAGGAAAGGGTGAATAGTGGTGTCACCCCCAGCTCGGGCCACCTGTGCTGGGCCAGCCTGTTCTCATGTGCCCAGGACTGGCCTTGGTGGAGGTCGCGGGGGCCGGCAGGTGGCTCCCTCTTGGGGGCATTGTACCCACGGGCATCCGGTGTGGGGACTGTCGTGTGAGCTGCCCCTGGACTGGCCTCCCAGAGTGGCTCTGGCTCCGCTTGTGCCGAGCGCTTGGCTCTTCCCCTCCCTGCCTCTCTGTCCCTCTCCCCTCTGCATCCATGGACCTGTCCCACAGTGTGTGTGGACCCGTCCCTCTCGTGGGTGCTGGTCAGTCCCGTATCTGAGGTCACTGCACGTGGTGACAGGCGTCTGTGCGGAAACTTAATCTAAGGCCATGCTTTCAACGAGTCGCCACAAAGGGCTAATCTTGGTTGCTGAGCACCGGTGGGGGCAGTGCAGATTTGGGGGACATGGGCCCCACAGCTCTACCCTGAGGGGTCACCCAGGGTCTCTTCCTTCTACAGCTGCCAGGGGGTCCCCGGACCCTGCAGGGTGGGCGGTGGCTCCATGCTGGGTGGGCAGGGCACTGTGGTGGGGGGAGTGGGGGGGAAGCCTGCCAGGCTGGGGAAGAGAAGGGCCCGGGGAGCTTGTGGTTGGGAGAGGGTGGGCCAGCGTAGGGCAGACGTCCCCCCGGGCATGTTAAAAAACAGGCCTCAGTATCTACTCAAGAGAAATAAAAACATCTCCACGAGACGAGACGGGTACATGAGCATCCACAGCAGCGCTGCTCACAGTAGCCCCAGGGCTGAAACCACCCGGCCAGCTGCTGAATGGGCTCCACCCGCCCTGTGGGGTCTCAGTTCAGTCCCGAGGGGGAGGTTCCAGTGCCCGAGAACCTCAGGACCATCGTGCTGGGGGAGAAGCAGGATGCAGACCCCGCAGAACGTGCGGGACAGGCACTCCGGGACAGGAGACACGGGCGGTTCTGCGGGGCTGGGAACGGGGCAGATGGGCCTGAGGTTTCCCTCTGGGGTGGAGGGAATGTTCCGGTGAGATCGTGCGGGTGCTCGAGTCCCTGACTGCAGCACATGAGGCGGGTGAACCGGCTGGTTTGTAAACCTGTCGGAGCACGCGTACACACGGCGCACATACATACAGCCAGGCCCTGGGTGTGGGACGCGTGAGGTGCGGCTCGTGGGGTCTGCCGTCTCCCTTCAGCTCACGGGAGGGGCCTCGAGCCTTGGGCTCCATGCTGGCTCCTCACGACACTGCCCCCCACCCATGACGGGGCCGGGAGCCCACCTGAGATGACACAAGCCCCCCACCCACGGCTGGGCCAGGAACTCACCTGAGATCTGGCTGTTGTTTCACTGCTTGACCCAGAACTCCCCAGGGCTGGAGGCCAGAAAGGCTGTGCCCAGGGTGTCTAGCCGCCCACTTCCTGGTTAGCTGCGGGAAGCCTGGCCCATCCCCGTCACCGTGCTGTGGAGGGGAGAGCAGAGGCTGCAGCCCAGTGTCAGAGCCAGACAGGGCCGGCTCCGGCAGGCAGCACCCCTAGTGGGCCTGGCGTGGGCACAAAGCCACCCCCTATGCACTCCAGACCAGGGTGCGGTCAGTTCCCTGGCCCTTGATCCTCCCAGGAGCCAGCATCCCTGCTAGCCATTGCACCCCCCAGCTGCCCCCTCTGGCATACTGGTCTCCCGAGGACGCAGGGAGGGGCCTCCTCCAGAGACTTGCGCTGCCCCCGACCTTGGGGTGGCAGGAGGGCACTGCAGATACAGCTCCAGCCTGCCCTGCGCCTCTGTGCCCACTTTGGAGCTCAGATACCCATCCCTGTGGTGGGCGGTGCCTGGCATCCCACCTGCAGAGGGCTAGGGGCTCAGGAGTGGAGGAGGAAGGGCTGCTGGTGTAGGGTGATGAACTTGAGGGCTGGCCACAGCCCCATCTACCCCGAGAAGGCCAGGCCGATGCAGGGCCTGCAGCCC